CACACACACACACACACACACACACACACACCCTTGGGCTGCGTGTATGTGCAAACGGTTACCCACATAAGGACAGAATTCTCACATACACATACACAACAACTGTCTAGGGTGTGGACTTCGCTCCTTTGCCGTAGCGAGCTTTCTGGACTGTGCGGCAACTCTCCGCAGTTAGCCTCGAATGCATCGCCCCGGTTGCTGCTGGCACGCGTTGTAAAGTTTGATTTCGATTTCCTCCCCCCTCCCCCTCTTTGACTCTCGTATTGAAATTTTACTTTGCGAAAACTCCCCTCAATGGCTGGACACATTTGATGTTTCGTGTGCATTTCTTCGCACCACTTAATGCTCCTTTCAACCCTGCCAAGCTAACAGTTGCAAGAGAGTGAGTAGGACACGAGAATTGGTACATCCCTCCCGCCTTCCTTCCCTGTCAGAGAGGTTGCCTTGAGCTGAATTCTAGACGAAACCCATTCCCCTATCTTCGCCCATGAGATTTAGCAGAAGGTCACTGTCATACCCGAGAGCTATAATTGTCCAACGAGGACTGATCATTTGGGTAAACTTCTCAACTTGAGGATGAGGGGTAGGCGAACTTTAGTCGCCTGACGTTTCGAATTCGTGCCCGAACGTATCATCCTCATCAGCTCGCCTTACCCATGCAAAATGCCAAAATTTGTAAAGGATTGAAAATCGCTCACAACCTGGCATTAACGCATGTACGAAAATTGTGAAATAACTATAGACAGCCTTAAGCGACATATACTATCACATTTTTCAGAAATACCAAATTTTTCAGAAATCCTCCAATTTCGAAAACGTGAATAATCGCTGTAACTTTGACCAATAAATGTAATTATTTTAGGGGGTTTGGCAGATTTGCTTAATTTAATTGACCCAATTGTGAAAAAAACTCGCGGCGTCAGCGGGAGTCGAACCCGCACAGCAGGGAAGGCCTTTATGCGAAGCCGACGCTCTACTGAGTTGAACTACGACGCCCCGTCAGCCTACTTGTCATTCTGGTGGATTCTAGATTGATTGCTTGGAAAATCCTGCTTGGGCAGTCAGTTTGCTGTCCCGTATTGGTGGATTCCATATGGGCGGAAAAATTGGGCGGGTGAAATCGATCCAAGTTTGATTAAATTCACGGCGCAGGCGTGGCGTCGTAGCTCAACTCGGTAGAGCGTTGGCTTCGCGTAAAGGCCTTCCCTGCTGTGTGGATTCGACTTCCGTCGACGCCGCGAGTTTTTTCACAATTGGGTCGACTAAAATAAAACATAAATGTAAATACAAGTGCCAGGTGAAATCGTAAGCTTAGCTTTCGAATATTTTAAAATTGCAAACATTTCCATCGTGGAATTAAGCAGAGTAATTGGCGAGCGTACGTAACCTTTCAATAAATTCTCATCGGACCAGTACATTTATATGGGATCGGGGTAAAAGTTCAAACATGTGGTTAATACTTTTCGTCTTCTCATATAACTGAGTTGTAGGAATGGGGAGGGGGCGTAGGGATCGATAAAAGAAGATTGGCTATTGTTTTCATCATCTCCGGAAGAGGAAGAAGGGGCAATTTCTGAGACCAGATTGTATTTAAGCTGACGTTTCGAGAACATTCTACTGTCATCGTCAGAGCGTAGTTTGTGTTTGTCTGCTCGCGTCAAGTGAGTGTGTCTGACTGCGTGTTAAAACTGTGTCTGATGCTCGCACGTCGACCGATTGTATCGATAGCTTACTGGTGGCTGTTTGAATTGTTCTCGCCCTCGCGGGCGCCTCCATGCGATGTGTCACGTCGTTCATATGCCCTCTGAGTGTTTCCACTTCCTTCGCTTGCGCTTGCCAGCTGTTGGTCCTGAGCATCTTCCTTCGCATGAAGAGGTTAGCCTTATGCGGAGCGCTTGGTAGGCGGGATGAAGGTCTATGGCTCTGGTTGGCTATGGAGCGGGAGGGTTTGGTAGAGCCGGTCCAGGGGGAGGTTGGACTGCATGTTTAAACTTACCCCTCGTTACCGCATTAATGTACTGGCTCGGTGAGAACTCATCGAAGGCTTACGTATGCTCGCCACCTACTCTTCTGAACTTGCTTTTCCTCTAATTTCTTTACAGGCATTTCTGGTATTAGATTACAATTATGTTCAGCAACTATTTTACGATTTTCCGTGTTTTCAAGCTTTTCCTATCAATTTGGATTTTCTCTTTGATGTGTTTTAGCAAAACCTTCAAAATAAGATAATTCTTTACCAAGAAAGGAGTTTTTTTATCTTATTAGATAGTGTAGGAGTTTTCTTGGATATCCGGCAACCTCTGTGTTGGCTCAAATTCTGTCTGTTTTCATTCCATGTACAAGATTTATTGGCAGCTCTTGTTTGCTAAAAGGCGTTCTCAGCATCCACTCCCATCATAATAACAAGACCAAATTTGCGCTCAGCTACTAACTCATTATCCCATCACGACATTGCTCATTTTGAGTTATCTCTGCACGAATCGGATGCTGTCGTTTATTATGCGTTCACGCATGAATCCGACAGATCGGGCTAATCATGTTCTTCCAGTGATCGCCTTTATCTCTTCCTCTTTTTCTTCTTGTCAACGTCTCATATTGCTAAAATATCATTGCCTGATACCTACTGCTCATTCTAAAAACGACTGATGTCCAAAAAGGTCTCAGATGAAGTCCAGCAATGTACCGAACTCGCCGACTTTCGACTAACTAACTTCTTTTTAATTTCATCTAGTTTGGTTTCTGGCAACTCCACTGTCGATTACTACAATGTACGGTAGCTGAGCACCAAGGATAAGTCTCTTCACGCTTGAATAATCTTCCCCTGCGCAATTAACAACACATACTGCCAACGTCCATCGGCTCGGTGTGCGAACATACCAAATGTTGCACCCGCCGTCTTAAAAAAACGCAAATCCCCTTTCGCAGAGGGTGCACGAGAGAGATGGCCTATAGTGCAATATACACGGAGAATGGTGGCCTTAAGAAATTCACCAGACCTCTTCCGTTAATATGGTGCAGCAACTGAATTCTCCTCCCCCCTCCCCCTCCTAGTTCTATCTTACCCAGTCATGAGTGCATGTTTTCCAAGACGAAGGCAACGTTAGCCTGTAGTTAAGGCCACATGCCAATGTTGTACGGTGGCCTAGCTAAAGCCTCTCAGAAGCTTTGGCCTGCGGT